AGGCCATTCTGTGACTGATGGATCAAAGCAAAAATAAGAATCAGAAACATTGTGTAAATCACAAAAATGACTTATCATCACTTGAGCTATCCTATCTCATACGAATGAGTACTGCTTCTAAAATTTTATCACTCCATTCTCACCTTCTGGGAAAGAATTAAAGATACCCAATCATAGAACTAACCCTACTTCCTAACAGCATCCAATCCTTGGACCCTCCCTAAAATCACCAAATATAAGGTCAAATCATAAATGATCTTTCTAGTACCCTCTTAGACACCCCATGGTCCTCCTATGGTGTACGGTCTCCCTCATTGCAAGGAGTCGGTGAAGCCAGATTTGTTCAACTGAGCGTGATCTTTGTATCATAATAAAATATCCAGAGCTTACAGAGAGCCATGAGGTCGCAGGAGAGACAAAACAATGGTTCTCAATGAGCGTGATTGATAGCTTGATAAAACATGAAGATGGGCCCTCCCTGGTGGCACAGTGGGTTAAAGCACAGTACTACGAAGCTAGCAGCAGCAGCTTTAGCAATCCCCACCCCACAGGTGACCCACATGGCTTGGCAGACCTCTCCTGATCTGCCCACTGCTCCCCTCAGCAGTGTACTTCGTCACTCGGCCTGTTTTGCTCCCCACTCTGTGTCTGGTGAGTCCTCTTAACACCCCTGCACCTCTGGCCTGTACCCCAGTTCTGCAGGCAAAAAAAAATTTTTTTTTAAATGAAGACAGGATACTAAGAAAGTGACATGTTAGATCCAAGGGTGTCAGTGAAGGCTTCATGATGGAGGCTATAACTTAGGTGGAAGTTAGCCCAGTGCAGAGGTAAGGGTTTTATTACTGGGAGGAGAAAATGTTCTATGCAGAGTGAAGAGCAAGGGTGGGCCCTCCCCTAGTGGTGCAACAGGTTGATGCGCAGCACTATGACGCTATCCACAGCCACTGCAGCCCAAGTTAATATGCCCAGCCAAGGAGCTGACCCACATGGCACAGCAGACCTCTCCTGTCTTGCACGCTACTCCCCTCAGCAGTGTATTTCGTCAATCTGCCTGTTTCGCTCCCTGGTCTGTCTGGTGAATCCATTCACCCCCGCACCTCTGGCCTGTACCCCAGTTCCTGTGTGTATAAATAAATAAATTGTTTTTTTAAAAACCAAGTTCACAACTGAGGTCAACTGAACATAATCCCTTCCAGCTCCATCCATGGTGCTGCAAACGGCATGAGTTTCTCTTTTTGATTGCTGAATAGTACTCCATTGTGTATATATACCACATCTTCTTGATCCAGTCATCTAGTGTGGGACATTTGGGTTGTTTCCATATCTTGCCTATTATAGTGCTGCAATAAACATAGGGATGCTGGTGTCTTTTTTGAATTGTTTCTGTGTCCTAAGGATAGATTCCTAGGAGTAGAATTGTTGCGTCATGTGGAAGCTCCATTTTTAGTAGCTTGAAGAACCTCCACCCAGTTTTCCATAGTGGAGCTGGAAGGGATTATGCTCAGTGAAACAAGCCAGAAAGAAAAAGAAAAATATTGGATGGCTTCACTTATAGGAGGAATTCAGGGAAACCAAATAAGGGATCAGGAAAAAAATTATAATACATCAAAAAACAAAATTCGTAACTACTATTAAAGACACCGCAGGGGAGGAACGGATGAAAACACGAGACTGTGGTGATGGTGCACGAGTGAATTGGTGGTGAAATTTTACAGGGACTACACCTGAGAGGTGAAAGCATGCACTACACAAAAAGAATGATATATATATATATATAATATATTAAAAAAATTGAAAGGGACTATGGGCCTCCCTGGTGGCACAGGTGTTAAAGTCTCAGCACTATCAAGGTATCTTCCACCCCTGCAGCACCAGTTCCATCCCAGGCCAGGGAGCTGACCCACATGGCGCAGCAGACCTCTCCTGTCTCAACTGCTGCTCCTCTCAGCAGTGTACTTCATCAGTCAGCCTGTTCTCCCTACTCTGTCTCTGGTGAATCTTTTCACCCACTTCCTCCTCCCCCAACCTCTGGCCTACATACCAGTTCTTGTATGCATAAATAAATAAATCTTTTGAAAAAAGGGGACTACCAGAAAGTACAAAGGACTTTGTATGTGCTTAAGTTCATTGAAGTGTTGTGACTAGATAGTATTTTATAAAGATTCACTAACCACATATTGTTATCAAGGTGAACAAACTGCCATCACTTGCTTCCAGATGCTAAGAATACATCCTCACTTTTGTGGTATTGCCAAAAAGGTATAACTTGAATTAATCACGAAGAAAAATCACATAACCCCCAACTAGGAACGCTCTATATTTTGAACTGCAAAAATGTCAGTATCATGAGACAAAAAAAAAGGCTGAGAAGCTACTCCAGATTAAAGGAGACTAAGCACAGTTAAATAGCATGATTTACCCTGGATCGGGTCTGAAAATGAAATCCTTTTATGCCTTTGTTATAAAGCACATTAGAAGGGGCCTCCCTCAGGGCCCTCCCTGGTGATACAATGGGTTAAAGTGCAGCACTGTAAAGCTGGCTGCTGCCAGCTCTGTGCCAGGGGAGTTCGATGAGAGTTCGATCCCTGCCCCAGAGGTGCCTCTGGCCTGTACCCAGTTCTGTATGTATAAATAAATCTTTGAAAAAGGGGGGGCCTCCCTGGTGGCGCAGGGAGTTAAGTCTCAGCACTATGAAGCTATCCGCAGCCACTGCAGCACAAATTGGATCCCCGGCCAGGGAGCCAACCCACATGGCACAGCAGAGACCTGTCCTGTCTCACCCACTGCTCCTTTCCACAGTGTATTTCAGTAGGCCCACCCATTCTGCTCCCCACTCTGTCTCTAGTGAATCCTCTCACTGCTCCCCAACCCTGCACCTCTGGTCTGCTCCCCAGCTCTTGTATGCATAAATAAATAGATCTTAACAATAAAAAATAAAAATTTGACAATTAGTAAAATTCAACTTGTTAATACTGTATTGATGTTAAACACCTGATTTTGATAATGTGTGCCATGGTTACATAAAAGAATGCCCTTGTTTTTAGAAAATATACACCAAACTATTTAGAGGCAAAGGAAGATCTTATCTACAGCTTTCAAATTGTTCCGAAAAAAACATATATGTAAATGAGAGGATAAAGCAGATGTAGTAAACTTGATATTTGGGAGGCCTAGGTGAAGGGTAATCACGAATTCTTAATGTTACTTTTGCAATTTTTCTGTGCCTGATTTTTATTTTCCAAAATAAAGTTACTCTTTCCCTGTCCCACACCCCCCCAATTTTTTTTTTTTAAAGAAATAGTTGAACAACTTTTATGATCAGCACTGCAGTGTCAGGGGAGGGGAGGGTGAATAAAATGCATCCCTGCTCTCAGGACTCACAGGCTGTTTTGGCAGCAGACCCAACAGGGTGAGACCTCCAGAAAGATGCCGACACTTTGGGCAGAAAATGGGGAAAGAGCTGAGCAAACCCAGGCAGTGCCAACATGCTTGGAAGTGCAGTAAAGGGACAATTGCTAACTGGAAACTGGTGACTAACTGGACTTGAGCGAGGGAGCAAGAGCTATCTAATGAGCTGTCTGGGCGTGCCAGGTCTTTTATTTGGCCATGGTCCCGCTTACCCAGACAGAGTGCCCAAGAGGTGTGAGGAGACTAACGGGGTGCCTAATTTTACACAGTGGTGCTGTTGAGTGGAGGTTTTATCTACAGGTCTATCGCTTGGGGGATGTGTGGTGTCTGAGTTTGGAGAGCCATCAGAATTTAGGAGGTTTTCAAAAAGCCATGGGTTAGGAAGAGGGCACAACTCAGCTCCAGGGATTTGGGGACCACAATCTCACTCTGCCACACCCAAAAACTGCCCTTCAGCGCTAGGTTTTCTGGATGGTTTTGGGCTATTTGCTGGATTTTTCCCAGCTGGCTTTGGGGAAAGTCTCCTCACTTTGTAGGTTTGTGTTTCCCATCTGTAAATCAGAACATTAGAGAGTAGTTTTTGTTAGCACCTCTCAGGGCGAAGGGGAACTCATGGAGACGACAGTGCTAGTTTTTCTAAGTTACTAACCTTGAACTTTGAGCTGGAATTGCTCCACTCATCTCCTGCCTGCATGGAGCCTTGCCCTTTTGGATGTTGGTTTTTGTCCCTCCCTCCTTAGCGAATTGAAGGGAAACAGAATGCCACTGTGAGCGTGACTGGAGTGTGCCAACTGGGGGTTATAACTGTGCAGGTGGCAAGGAATCAGACACTGAATTGAGAGAGAAACGGTGACGTTACACCGACCTTGGATTCAATGCCTACAATCAAACGCACAAATCTCAAGGGTCCACTGGATGACTTTGACAGGTCATACACCTATGCAATTCAAACCTCCATCAGGATATAGAACATAGCCATCCTGGAAAATGCCCTTCACGCCCCTTCTCATTTAATCATTGGCTCCCTATCCCCAGGAGTAACTGCCTTTCTGTTTATCTCCCTCTCTTACTTTTCTCAAGTCTTTAAAATAACTTGTGGGTTATTTAGAGAAAGTATGAATGGTCAGATGGCAGGACCAGGCAGACATTTAGACTCTCAAGGGCGAATATGAGCCTGAGTGTTGCTTTTATTTATTTATTTATTCCATATGATTTTAAAATCCACTCAAATAAAGCCGCTCCTCCCAACACTCCCCCACACACACACACAAGCAAACGTTTTGCGGTTTTGCAAGAGCTGGCCTGCACCCATCAGGGTCTTCCGCCAGGGAAAGGGAGGATTTGTTTGACTGCTTTGTTCTTTCCTCTCTCATCAGTTTGTGTTTAACTGGAGCCTCTTCTTTTCTCAGACATTTTAACAGCGTTAAGTGATAAAGCAGCTCCGCGTCCAAATTCCACAGCTTAGGTTCAAGTTGCTGCAAACCTCTGCTCCACCTCCCTGTGTCCGGAGATTCTGCAGGAATCTTCCAGCCGACAGAGGCGGGGCTGCGGGGGGTGTCTAAAGTTGCTGCAGACCTCTGCGCCACCTCCCTGTGCCCGGAGATTCCAGGAATCTTCCAGCCGACAGAGGGAGGGCTGCGGGGGGTGTCTAGGGGGTAGGCAGTCCCCGAGCCCCACGCCTGCTGGCCGAGCTATAGCTCCTGCGCTTCCTCGTCGCCAGCCCCCACCCGCGGCCTGACCTTTGAGCCGCCCTAGAAGTCACCCGCCGGGTGAGTGCCCGCCCGGCCGCCGAGTCAGGGAGAGGAAAGCGCAGGCGGCGGCCAAGCGAAACCGGCTGGGCCCGGTCTTCCGATGAGCTGGGGGCGGGGAAGGAGACTGACGGCCCTCTGTCAGCGGGGACACCACGGACACTACGGCCCCCACCTCCGCTTCCCAGAGCCTGGCGCCGCCTGAGGCTGCAACGGCTGCCAGGTTGGGCGAGCCCCGCCCCCACACAGGTACCCCAGCCGGCGCGGCCACCTGACGCCACGTGCCCGCTCCTCCCGCCGGGGCCTCCGTGCGCGGCCCTGCCAGGCGCGGCCCGGGCAGAAAAGGGACGTTTGCCAGCCCCTGGCTCACACGACGGAGCCAGGGCCCAAAAGGTATGTCTCAAAGGCCGGCGTCCGGTCTGGGACCTTATCTGAGATCGATGCATGAAAGCCTTTGAAGCCAGCGCCCATTTTTACCAACCAGTGAAGGTTCCTAATGCTCTGATTCTAGAGTTTGTGTTGGAGTGGAGGCAGATTTGAGCTGTGTCTGGTTTTTAAAAATGTGGTTTATTCAAGGAAATACGAAACCAGAGATTAGCTTCCTTTCTCCAATCTTCCCTTACCCAGCAGGCGTGGAACCACTTCAAAGCAGGTGGATGAGAAGGGGTGGGGGGAGGAAGAGGATCAGGATGCCTGCGATTTTTGTCATCTTCCCGAAGAGTTTAGGAAAGAGAGAAGGCTCTTGAAGGTTGCCTATCTTTCCTCTTTCCTAGGAGTCCCTTAGAGAAAAAAAGTGGTTTGCTTTTCATTTCGGGTACTGATGTGTTTTTGTTTTTGTTTTCCTTCCAATTCACTGGTGGGATCTGTGCCTAAAGTCCCAGCACAGTGTTTCTGCCTGCGAAGTGCTCGATCTGTCACTAAACTGGCCCAGCCTTTCGAGGCAGCAAGAAATCACTGAGGGACTCTCCACTCCTAGGACGGTACTCAGATACTGTCCTTTTCTACACCCTTCCTTTGTCTGAAGCTGAAAACGGATGTTAGTTCCAAATTAGTGTAGTAACACTAACTTACTGTAACACGAAATAAACCTTTCTAAAAATGTGACTCAGGAAAACTCAGAGCAGGACGCTCTCTAGCCTTTGAGCAATCAGAACAGTGAATCTACCGCACCAACACTTGGGGTGGGGGTGCAGCGGCTGCAACTGCACCAATGAGGGAGCTGCCCGCCCCTGCCCCTCGGGGGCTAGGTGTTTGCTTAAAAGGCAGCCGCCCTCGCTCGGATCCGAGGCGAGAGAGGCTCTAGGGCCGCCGAGGTGTGGGTGTTGCTGTGCGCGCTGTCTGCACGCTCTCTCTGAAGATAGCTTGAGGAAAAAAAAAAAAAAACACTGGTAAGTTGATTGATTCTCCCCTATCAGTACTTTTTTCTTTTTCATACATGTCTCCTCCTGCCACGTTGCCTATCTTCTGATCTGGGGAAAGTGTGTTCAGCCTTTCCCTGCTCTGGGATTTTCCCAGCTTGCTGTTTTGCTGAGTGTGCTCCATGTGATTCTATTTTGTTTTATCTCTGTTATCTACAGTAGATCTCCCCTATGACAATGTCTTCCGTTAAGATTGAGTGTGTTTTGCGGGAGAACTGCCACTGCGGAGAGTCTCCGGTGTGGGAGGAAGCGATCAGCTCCCTGCTCTTCGTAGATATTCCTGCAAAAAAGGTTTGCCGGTGGGACTCGCTCAGCAACCAAGTGCAGCACGTGACCGTGGGTAAGGTTGAAGCCCGACTCAGATCTGCTCACACCTCAACTCTTCCCTGGGCGGGGGTGGTCACCCAGGGTTGGTCAGGCCCCAGACCTTCTTGGCAAAGCATAGGGAAAGTGCCTTTGAAGTCACAAGTCATCATGCGCTGGGTCTGCACCCCGTGTTCTCCCACTTTGACTCAGGAGGAAATTCTGGGTCGTCAGTATGTTTCTTCTTCATTGTAGGGTCTTTCCTTAACACCTTCAGATATCAACTCTGGGAGTTAGACACCGGTTTGTGACACAGCCGATGCATTCCACCTGGGGTCGGGCCTCCACCTTCTTTAAAAAAAAAAAAAAAAAAAAGATGGTCCCTTTGTGCATGTGAAAGGAAAGCTTTTAAGTTTATACAGCAGCAGTGGTGCTGTCGTTCAGTACAGTCTACTGGCTGTACAAAGTCAGATTCAGCATGAATTCCCAGTGCCTTTGAGTGTGGTTCTTCCTGTTTACCGCCATGTGACTTATCACATGAAGGGCTTATCACATTCGAAGGCCAAGGACATAGGCTTGATTAGCATAAAGATGTATCTTGTTTTCATTATTGTGTTTGTGAGAAGGGACACTTACGAGAAATTTCTGTGCTCCTGGGACACTCATCTGAGAAATGGGGACTTCAAACATCTTCTTTTTAAAAAAAGATTTATTTTTATTTATTTAGGCATAAAAGAACTAGGGTACAGGCCTGAAGTACAGAGGTAAGAGGATTCACCAGAGACAGAGTGGGGAGAACAGGCAGGTCTACTGACATACACTGCTGAGGGGAGCAGCAGGCGAGACAGGAGAGGTCTGCCGCGCCATATGGGTCAGCTCCCTGGCTGGGGATTGTAGTCAGACTTTAACCCCAGTGCCACCAGGGAGGGCCCCATTTTCCTTTTTTTTTTTTTTAAATAAGAGAGAACAGTCTTTTAATTCACCCAGGGATATGACTGTGGCAGCTGGCAAAGTGATTGTGACTGCTGAGGTCCGGTGTGGGGGGAACCTCTGGCCTTCTCTGGTCTGTTTGTCCTAGCATGCAAGTAGGACCAAAACATTAGGAGTAGATCTCTACCCTGACCTGCATCCCCACCCCAAGCGCTGGAAATGGTTTGTATCAGCACTAGCTTGGAAAGCTCAGGAAGTCTCAGGCCATGGCTTGGGGTCTCTGACTAGAATGTGACCCTCCTAGTCGTGTCCCGCACATCCCCTGGGGTCCCAACCCCCACCCCCTGGATCTAAGCAGGGCTTTAGCTGAGAGCTGCTCCTAAGCACCCAGGAACTGCAATAAGGGGGGCTTAGGAAATATTTTAAAACTAAATTCTGATATATTTGTTGCTCACTGTGGTAATCAATCCCCCCATTTAAAAAAAAAAGGAAATATTCCTTTATACTTAGGAAAATATTAAACCTAAAGAACCCTGAAATTTAAAAATACAAAATTAGCAATATGAAGACGTAACTTTTTAAAGATTTGTTTATTTATGCATACAGAAATGGGGTACAGGCCAGAGGTGCAGGGAGTGAGAGGATTCTCCAGAGACAGAGTGGGGAGCAGGACAGGCAGATCGATGAAGTACACTGCTGAGGGGAGCAGCAGGGAGACGAGAGGTCTGCCACGCCATGTGGGTCACCCTCCTGGCCCGGCTTTGAGCTCATGCTGCAGTAGCTGCAGATAGCTTCATGGTGCTGCACTTTGTGACGCCACCAGGGAGGGCCACAAGACATGGTTATTTTATCACCATGTCTGCCTGCCCAGGGCAGTCCCCCTCCCCAGGGCCCAGGCTAGGGGTGGTGGGGTTCACAGAATGACTCCCACCGCCCCCTCCCCCATGGGGGCCTGCCGCCTGCAATTCCTATCCACATATTCATTATTTTTACCATGCTGACTTCAAAAAAGATTTAAGAAACAATTTTCAATTGAATACATATATAATTGACCTGATACAACACAAGCCCTGTATTACAGGAGGAGAGAAATGTCACAAAACCTAGTTTCTGGAACTAAATAGTCTGTGCCTGAATTTCTGGAGATCAGACAAATTGCTCATTCCTTACAGTGTGACATGGAGCTAGTGTCGCCCCCTGCCCCCCTCCGCCCCGTTTGGAACCCCTCCTCTGAACGTGATGTGATGCCCGCTTCCAAAGCGTAGTGGCTGCCATGGTTTGACTTTTGTGTTTCCCCAGCTAGAGTGGGAGCTTTTAGAAGAACTGGGTTTTCTTCACCTTTCTACCCCTGCTATCCAGACAGTGCATGCTTCGTGCTCCAGAGAGTGGCCTTGCCGATTCCACAGGAGGAAGAAACAGCTCTCAGTGCCAAAGGACTGGAACCCTCTTAAGCGGTGCCAGGAGGCATGCTGGCCGCAGTGCGCTGCTCAGCCGCTGGGTTGCTTGCTGCATTCTCACTGCTGTGTTTGCCTCTCCAGATGCCCCAGTCAGCTCCGTGGCCCTTCGCCAGTCAGGAGGCTATGTCGCCACAGTTGGAACAAAGTTCTGTGCTTTGAACTGGGAAGAACAGTCAGCAGTTGTCCTGGCCACAGTAGATAAAGACAAGAAAAACAATCGATTCAATGATGGGAAGGTGGATCCCGCTGGGAGATACTTTGCGGGTATGGTTTCTCTTTAGCACTTACTTGCTGAGTTTTGGAGAAAATCAGAACGTGACTTCTAAAAGTCTTATTCCAATCGTGGTAAATATGCTATTCACAAAGGGCTGTAGGTTCTTTGGTTATTATTGCTTGAGTAACTTATCCCATTCAAAAAATAATTCCATGAGAAAAACTTCATAGATGTGCCTTTCAATATCTGTCTTTAGCACAGACTAAAATTGTCACTTTTGTGGTTTAAATGAGATTGAAAATAGAGGTTTTGTCATTGCTATTGTTGTTGAAATTAGAAATAATTTCAACTTTCGAAAACAGAATGGTACAAAGTCTACCTGTATGCCCCTTCCCTAGATTCACCTGTTGTCATCATTGTACTCCATTTGCTCTCTCCATTTATTTCTTCAAAATTAGGTGAAAGTTGCATATATTACATGTCTTTACCCCTAAAATATTTCAATGTGACTATCCCAAGAAAAATGACATATTCTTACATGACCACACTGTAGTTATCAACTTAAAAAAGTTTACATTCATACAACTTTATCTGACGTACTACCTATATTCCAGTCGTATCAATTGATCAATTAATGTCCTTTATCGCATTTTCTCCTCCAGTATAGGGTTTGGTCTAAGAATCATGTTTTGCATTTAGTTGTCATATCTCTCCAACCTGGAACATCTCCATAGCCTTTGTCTGTTATGACATTGCCAGTTTTGAAGAATGCAAGTCCCCACCTCTCCCCCATTTGAATAGAAGGTTTAAAAAAAATGTTCCTTATATTCCTCACGTTTTTGTGTTAGTCTCATATTTCCTTGTGGTTAGATTGATGCTGTACTGGGCGATGTTCTGTCCTATCCAGATGACATACCATCTGTCCATCACTGGTGATGTTTTGATCACCTGATTAAGGTCTTCTCAGATTTCTCTGCTGTATAGTTATTATTTTTTCAATTGTAATTTATAAGCATGGGAGGTGTTAGTTATCTATTGTCATGTAAGAATTACCCTGAAACTTAGTGGGTTAAAATTGCAAACATGCTGTTCTCCCAGGCCATTTAAAACCTAACATTGTGCAGCAAAACTGCTTATCCAGACTAAACGGGAAATGCATATGAGCAGCAAGTTCCTGTTATCTGCTGAGTATTGTTATGAGTATAAATGATTTAATGAGAATTTGAAGTCTTAACATTTTTTTGAAATTCAAAAACTTTATTGGAGACGACAAAAGATTCTCCAGTTTAAATTATCTGATATGTTAGATTAATATGGATGAATGTGTATACACACATATGTATGTGTTTATATCTATAGGTATAAATCCCATGGATGAAGTAAAAAATAAGTAACAAACATCTCAATTTCTGTAGGTTAAAATCTGGGAGTGGCTTAGGTGAACAGTTGTAGCTCAAGGCTGTGAAGTTGCAGTTGATCTGTCCGACAGCTCTAATCTGGGATGGGGCTGGGTTTTCTGAAGAGGCCTGCAGACTCTCCATCCAAGCTCACTCACATGGGAGATGGCAGGAGGCTTCAGGTCCTTAGCATGTGGGTCTCTCCACAGGACTTCTGGGAACATGCTTCCTCAAACCAGTGATCAGACAGACAAGATGGAAGCTACAGTCTTAGTATAACCAGTCTTGGAAGTAACATAACATCACTTCTGCCCCGTGCAGAATGATGCAGGGGATCGGAGAAAGAAGTGAATGCTGTGGGGGTGGGGGTCATTGAGGCCATCTTGGAAGCTAGTTATGACATGGGGAGATACTTTTTTTCTGTATTTATGCATACAGAGCTGTATTTATGCATACAGACCAGAGGTGCAGAGGTGGTGAAAGGATTCATCAGAACTGGCAGACAAACGAAGTCCACTGCTGAGGGAGCAGCGGGCGGGTAGAGAGAGGTCTGCTGCGCCATATGGATCACCTCCCGGGCAGGGATTGAACTCATGCTAAAGTGGGTTTAGTTTCTTAGTGCTGTGCTTTAACCCACTGCACCACCAGAGAGGGTTGGAGAGATACTTAAAACCCAAGAAAATAGCATGGTCCTCACTGAAAATTCTCCCTTCAATTTTACATTTGTTGATGATTCTTGCTTGACTCAGTCTTTGCTATGAGACATGCAGAATGACTTATACACAGCTTTAAATGACTTTTAACTACAGCTTGAAATTAAAGAATGTGTTTTATTTTACAAAGCAATATTTCATTTTATTCATTCTCCATTTCCTCAAGCAAAAAAATGACAGAAGCTCTCCATTGGAGATTGGAGAAATGTCAGAAGTATTCAGTGGAATATGTAGTGGCAATGATTAATAACAGTTGTTATTTACATGATACAGTACATCATGTTATTTACATGATGCAATACATGCATAATTACATAATATATAATGCATACATAAATAAGAAGTCCACTTCTTATTTCTCTCCCATCATAAGCAAACCATAGTTGATTCTAAGTCCCAACTGTTTTTACCGCCCTCCACAATGACCCCTCATATGGTTAATTGGCTTTGGCTGTGCTGGCTCCGCTCACATTCAGCATGGATGGTAGGTAAGGTTTGAGCAACGGGCAGGTCAGGAGAGGTCTGTCACGTCATGTGGGTCACAACCCTGGCTTGGGATCAAACTAAAGCCGCAGTGGCTGCGAAGAGCCATGTGATGCTGTGCTTTAACCTGTTTCACCACCAGGGAGGGCCCCATCCTTTTAGTATTAAGTTACCTGTACCATTGCATTTTAATGATTTCTTATAGACAGCTTATAATTGGATTTTTTAAATAACAGGTAATCTGTCTTAACTGATGTGGTTAGATCATTTACATTTAATGTAATTAGTGATATGCTTTGACTTAGATCTACTGTTTTATTATGTGTTTTCTTTTTCTCTGTATTGCTTATTCCATCGTTTCTCCTTTCCTTCCTTCTTTTGAATTATTTGAACATTTTTTAGAATGAAATTTATTTCTTAACAGTTTTTAGCTGCCTCTCTCTGTATGGTTTGTAAAGGGACACTGAAGGGATTGCAAAACATATAGTTAACTTTCCACTGTCTATCCAGAGCTAATATTTTACCTGTTCAGTTGGAATCACCTCTTTATGCTATAGTTGTCTGTGTGCATACATTAAACATTCCTTCAGAAACTGTGGTTTTTGCTTTCTTTTTTTTTTTAACAGTTTATTACTACTTTTTTTTTCTGCATAGAAGAACTAGGGTGTGTGCCAGAGGTGTGGGGCATGAGAGGATTCAACAGAGACAGAGAGGGGAGCAGAACAGGTGGATTTACTGAAATACACTGCCGAGAAGAGCAGTGGGTGAGACAAGAGAGGAGAGGTCTGCTGTGCCATGTGGGTCACCTCCCTGGCAAGGGATAAAACTCAGGCTGTGGCACTGGACCCTCATGGGAGAAGCACTGAGACTTAACCCCTAGGCTATCAGAGAGGCCCTAATTTTTGCTTACAGCATCAGCAATATTTTTAAAAACTAAAGAGAAGAATAGTCTATTATATTTACTGTTTTTCTTGCTCTTCCTTCATTCCTGATGCTCCACGCCTCCTTTTGGCTCCAGCCCTTCTGTCTGAACAAGTCCCTTCAGCAATTCTTTCAGAACAAGTCTGCTGGCTACTAAGTCCTTTCATTTTGCTTCATGTGAAAACATCTTTACTTTGCCCTCATTCTTGACAGACATTTTCACTTAATCTAAAATTCTAGGTTAGCACTTTTTTTTCCTTCAGTAAATTAAAAAATAGGTGACTACCTTCTAAACCCCGTGGATCCTCTAGAAAAATCTAGTCATTGAAATCATTATTCCCCTGTATGTAATGTGCCATTTTTCTTTCATTGCTCTTAAGAATTTCTATTCAACTCTAGTTTTCAGAAATTTGATTGTGATATGTCTGGACATAGATTTCTTCAGGCTTAATTCAACTCCCTGAAACTGTAGATTCATCTTTTCACCAAACATGGAAAGTGTTGAGCCATTATTTTTTCAAAAATTTTTTTGATTCCGTACTCTTTCTTTTTTTCTAAAAATCCAATGACACGTATATCCAGTCACTTCTTAGTTGCCGTCCTTAAAGCTGTGGGGCTTTTTTTCAATCTTTTTCCTTCTGTGTTTTATGTTGTATAATTTCCTTTTAGCAACGGGTACAGGCTCTTTCCTCTGTCATCTCTGTTCTGCACTTGAGTCCATTCAGTGAGTCTTTTATTTCAGTTATTTCATTTTTCAGATCTAAAGTTTTCATTTGGTTATTCTTTATACCATCTACTTCTTTGTTATTTTCTAGTTTGAGTTTTGTTTCAAGACTACAGTCTTCCCACTTGAGCATTTTTATAGGAACTGTTTTAGTCTTGGTCAAAGAATTCCAACATCTGCATCATTTATCTTCTGCATCTGTTGATTCTTTTCCTAGACAAGCTGAGGTTTTCATGTTTCTTGCATTATCAAGTAACTTTGTATTGTGTCCTGGACATTTTGATGATTACGTTATGAGAGAAAGCCAATGGGGAATGTAGATGTATTTGTTTTAGGTAACCATCATCTATACGTTTCAATTGAGACCACAAGTTCCAACCTGCTTTTTGTTAGGTGCTATTAGCCTCTGTCCATATATTTGCCACTCAGTGGTCAGTCTGCGACCTAGGAGTTCTATCTATTAACTCCATCCTCAAAGTCTTTGGTATGCAAGAACTGGAGTGTAGTCCAGAGGTGGGGGTGGGGAAGTGAGAGGATTCACCAGAGACAGAGTGGGGAGCAGATCAGGCAGATCCACTGAAATCCACTGCTGAGGGGAGCAGCAGGTGAGACAGAAGAGGTCTGCTATGCCATGTGGGTCAGCTCCCTGGTGGGGAATGGAATTCATGCTGCAGTGGCTGCAGAGAGCTTCATAGTTCTGAGACTTAACCCCTTGCACCACCAGGGAAGCCTGAGGTTACTAAGCATCGTCCTTTACTAGCTCCTGCTACTTCCCAATTTCCTGGAGTTCCCCTTTTCTTTCCTCCAGCCAGAACCCGCCTGCCTCCATGATAGCGCTGCCACTGGCGCCATTAGCAGTAGGGCAGAGAGAACATAAAAGCACGTATTTGGCTCTGTCCTTGTGCTCCTATAGCTTCAAATTGGGAGGCGGCGGCAGGCAGGCAGAGTCCCCTTCTCTGAGTCTTGAGTAGTTTCCAGTTGTCGGCCACTCACTCTCCCTTGTTGCCATCCATGCTAGGAACTGCTGGAGCGTGAGAGAATGGACAAAGGGGAGTGGGGGATCGCCGGGGGTTCCTCTTCGCTCTTGGAAGCTTCATGCATTTTCCTTCCTGCTCCTTACCCAGATCTAAAGGCTTTCTCTTGGGTCTCTGTCTGCACCACAGTGCTCCCTTCCAAGTGCCAGGCTATACTGAGGTCAGGCCAGGACATACCGGAGAATAGCATAGAGAACTCACCAGCCACTAGGTGGCACTGCATTCTGGTGCCCTTAGAGATATTTTCTTTGCCCAAGCTTTGTGGTTGTGTGCAGTGGGAGAAAATGAGATCAGCGCAGACGCACTTCTTACCTGGAACTCGAACCTCTCAGTGTCGTTTTCATTCACACCAAAAGGGAGGTAGCTGCCTTTTTTTTCCTTTTCTTTTTCTTTCTCTCTTTCTTCCTTTTTTTGAGTATAAGACCCAGATTAGGATCATATAATGATGTCTGTGATTTAATCACCAGAAAGGCTCCCTGGTGAGAAATTTCAAGTAGCACAGTGGGCAGAGAGCTGGGAGGCTGAGCCCAGTGCTCTTTGCTTTCTCACAGGCACGATGGCTGAGGAAACAGCACCGGCAGTCCTGGAGCGGCGGCAAGGCTCCCTGTACTCCCTCTCTGCTGACCACCACGTGGAAAGACACTTTGACCAGGTGGACATCTCCAATGGCTTGGATTGGTCCCTGGACTTCAAGACCTTCTATTACATCGACAGCCTGTCCTACTCTGTGGATGCCTTTGACTACGACCTGCAGACAGGAAAGATCTGTATGTACTTTTTCATTATTTCTCTTCATCCTGCTGGTAGTTTTCATATGTGGCGTCTGACATGCGGTGTCTCCCTCAACCCATGTGAAAAGGTCCTCGGTTATCAGAGAGCTGTCTGATAGATATAGTATGTCAGTGCGGTCACCATCGCATACACTTACTATGCCGCTCGTCAAACCATGGCCCTCAACCCCAGTGCATGTGGCCACAGTTGGCATACAAGGGGTAGATCCTTGATTCTCTGTCTTGCCACTATCACTAGTAAGCAGCTCAACATAACTGCACCTTGCTCTACCAGGAGGTGTCTTAATGATAAGTAATATCCCGCAGGATAGAATAAAAGAAAATGGGAGTTCGGGCTGGAACATGGGCACACTTCAGTGACAAATTAACAAGCTTTCAGGCTTCGGTTCAGGTCAGCATCACAAAGAACAATTGATATTTTATTAAGAATTTACTTTCTGAAAAAGAAAAATACCAGATGATTTCGCTCGTATCAGGAGCATAAAGGACTGGAGTGCGGGGGGGGAATAACAATAATGAATAACTACATACCAGAGACATTTTACGGGGGTGGAGTGGGGATGAAAAACAGAGGTGGGTGGGGTGCACTGGACTATGGTGATGGCACACGGGTGATTGTTGATGGGAAGCCCACGGGGATTACAAGTGAGATGGAAAAAGACACAAAATGATGTAAAAATAAACTATTATTTTAAGAAAAGAATTCTACTTTCTTTTTTCTCTGCTCTTCTGAGAATTTAGAAGGTGTGTCTATAATCCAAAGGAGCGAATCCACTTAGAATCAAATGGTACAAATCCTTTGTTGAAGGGTGCCCACTAGTGTTTCTGGACACTTCCAGAGTGCAGAATCCTTCAGAGCTGCCCCTGTGGTGCCCACATACCAGAACCTCTATAAGCAGAAGTGGACAGGATCATAATCTTCTTGAGAGCACTTTGTTGTGATCCTTAGGATTGAATGACCTGTTGTTGGGTTGTGTGTCCATGCCTGTGTCTTGTTTAACCACAGCCAACCGTAGAAGTGTTTACAAGCTGGAGAAAGAAGAACAAATCCCAGATGGCATGTGTATTGACACTGAGGGGAAGCTCTGGGTGGCCTGCTACAATGGAGGAAGAGTGATTCGTTTAGATCCTGAGACAGGTAAAACAGACAAACAAAGAAAAAACCCTGCCCTGTCTAGAAAACTCCAGACCTTGGGAGCTAGAGAAATTTCATTACTAATGAAGTTAAATCTACATTCAGTGATTCAGTGGTATGACTTTGGGAAAAAAAGGCAAACATATAACCCAAACTTGATAGCCAGAACGTTGGTTTGGAGGTAAGTCTTTCTGTTTAAAATCAATTGCCAGGGAAGGTAGATTAAATATGCTTCAAGTCTGATGTCCATGTCCACAATCTTCTTTGAACATCCCAGGTGTCCCAAAATGTACTGCTTGAAAATTTGTTTGAATTAAACTTTAAATAAAATATCTGGCGATCTAGGGAAAAGACTCCAAACTGTGAAGTTGCCTGTTGATAATACAACCTCATGCTGCTTTGGAGGGAAAGATTACTCTGAAATGTATGTGACCTGTGCCCGGGATGGAATGACTCCTGAGGGCCTTTTGAAGCAACCTGAAGCTGGTGGCATTTTCAAGGTGATCTGGCTATTTCTTTAATTTTAGGGGTGAGATGGGAAGACCTTGGTTAAGTAACTATTCAATTAACGTTTCTTCATACTCGCAAAACATAAAATTTTATTTAACATTTTAAGCTCATCATGCTAGACTTAAAAACATTTTATTGAGATTTTCTAGACTGTCCATTATCTGAAATCCAGGACAATGTGTCTGGCCTATTTTGTAAAATACAATTTTTTTTTTGCTTCAGTAATATTTACTGAAATTCTATTGAAATCAAGAGTGGGCTTGGAAAACCAGTGTTTGAAACATATTTATAAGATCAGTTGATTTTTCTTAATGTATTTAATTTTTTGCAATAAAACAAATACTGATAAAAATTATAGATTTTTTTTTAAATCTGAAAACATGCAGACTTCACCCAGCTCAAAGCTGCTTTCTTTACAGAAGAGAAGGTGCTACAAATAAATTCTGTTTTAAATCCAAGTTCATTATAAGTGGTTCCTATTTGGGTTATTAACTATGTGAATAATTGGATTGGACCATAAATACCTCATAAGTAGTTCCTTTTTATGATCTGAAATAAAACAAGGATAATGGGTGTCTAGATGTATTATGAAACATACAAATGCTTTTGAAGAATGCTAATGAATTACCTTTTATCACAGTTTCTCTCTTTTGTATTTTTAACAGATAACTGGTCTGGGAGTCAAAGGGATTCCTCCTCATTTCTATGCAGGATAAATGACAGGCCTCCTTTCCTAATGGAGGATCTTCTGAAGACAACTAGAAAATTCTGCAGTTGGAATTTCAATCTAGTTACTGAAAAATAAAATACTGATATTATTAACAGGGCTAGACTTCTTTTTACATTTTTAAAAGGTTTATTTATTTAGGCACACAAGAACTGGGGTACAGGCCAGAGGTGCAGGGGATGAGAAGACTCACCAGAGACAGAGTGGGGAGCAGAACAGGTGGATTGACCGTAATACACTGCTGAGGGGAGCAGCGGGCAAGATAGGAGACGTCTGCAGCTCCATGTGGTCACCTCCCTGGCAGGGATTGAACTTGTGCTGCAGTGGCTGTGGACAGTTTCATAGTACTGTGTTTTAACCCTTTGTGCCACTGGGGAGCCCTTTTTACAGTTTTTTAAAAGGATTTATTCATACATACATACAAGAATTGAGGAACAGGCCAAAGGTTGGGGGGGGTGAGAGGATTCCCCAGAGACAGAGTGGGGAGCAGAACAGGCAGATCGACTGAAATACACTGCTGAGGGGAGCAGTGGGTGGGTCAGGGGAGGTCTGCTGCACCATATGGGTCAGCTCCCTGCCGGCTATCTGCAGTGGTTGCAGATAGCTTCATAGTGCTGCACTCTAACCCCTTGTGCCACCAGGGAGAACCCCCCCTTTGTACAATTTTTTAAATTTTATAATATTTATTTTTACATCATTTTGGCATTTTTCCATCTCAGTTGCAATCCCCTTGGGTTTCCCATCACCAAATCACCCGTGTGCCATCACCATAGTCCAGTGCATTTCCCATTCCCCACTCCACCCCCACAACATGTCTCTGGTATATAGCTGTTCATCATTATCATTATTTTCTCCCCTGTTCTGTTATATTCCTGCTATGAGAGAAACCATCCTGTATAATTTTTTTAACGTAGAACAGTTTTAACAAGGGACCACATGGTTTTTGTTTTGTTTTTATTTTTTAAGATTTATTTATTTATGCATCGAGAGCTGGGGTACGGACCAGAGGTGCATGGGGTTAGAGCTTTCACCAGAGACAATGTGGGGAGCATAACAGGCAGATGGACTGAAAAACACTGCAGAGGGGAGCAGCAGGCAAAACAGGAGAGGTCTGCTGCGCCATGTGGGTCACCTTGACAGGGGATTGAACTTGTGCTGCAGTGGCTGTGGAGAGCTTCATAGTGCTGCACTTTAATCCACTGTGCCACCAGGGAGGGCCCTTGTATTGTTTTTAAAGATTCATTTATTTTTGCATGCAAGAACTGGGGTGTAGGACGGAAGTGTGGGGTGATGAAAGAATTTACCAGAGAGAGAGTGGGGAGCAGAACAGGCAGATTGGCTGAAATACACTGCTGAGAGGGTGAGACAGGAGAGGTCTGCTGTGCCATGTGGGTCAACTCTCTGGTCAGAGATCGAACTTGTGCTGAAATGGCTGCCGATAGCTTCATAGTCCTAAGACTTAACCCCTTCCGCCACCAGGGAGACCCTGGACCATATGGTTTTGATGATACAGAGACCTTCTGCAAAGGTACTACGGTACCTGTAGTACTTAATGTTTCATAGTCTATTTAGAATCAGTATTGTACCAATTTACTTGCAATATATAAGCCTTCCACCATATAAGTCCCTTTACTCTTGTTCTTCCATGTTAGAAAACGTGTTATATACTCTATCCATACACACTAAAAAATCATCCATTTGAACCATCAAGCACAAGAAAAACAGTCTATTACATTTACCAAGATATCACCATTTTTTTCAACATGCTTCATGTTCTAAGCTTCCTTCTTGTATCCTTTTTTTATTGTCTGAAGAACTCCCTTTAATTTTTTTAGAGCATGTATGCTAGTTATGAATTATCTTAGTTTTTCCTTTCTAGGATCATGTCTCTGTCTACCTTCATTCCTGAAGGCTGTTTTCATTAAATATGAAATTCATGGTTGATAGTTCTTTTCTTCAACCTTTTTAACATTATTGTGCTATTCCTTCTGGTATTGTTGTTTCCATTAAGAAATCTTCAGTTATTGACATAATTATTCCTCTACAGGTAATAAGTCTTTTCCTCTGGCTGATTTCAAGAATTTTCATGTTGTCTATAGTTTTAGATAATTTGTTTATGATGTCTCTAGATAGGGATTTCTTAGGTTAATCCTCTGAGACTTACTCAGATTCTTAAATCTGTAGATTCAAGATCTGTCTTACTTAACTTGGGAATTTGGGGCCATTACTTCTTCAAATGATTTGTTTCTGCCTCAGGAGGCTTTCTGGGACTCCAATGACTTGAATATAAAATTTTTATTGTTACACAGATACCTGAGGCTCAGATAAATTATTTTTAATATTTTTTCTCTCTATTGTTCAGGTTAGTTAACTTTTTTTTTTTTTTTAGATTTTATTTACTTATACATACAGAACTGGGGTACAGGCCAGAGGTGCAGGGGCAGTGAGAGGATTCACCAGAGACAGAGTGGGGAGCAGAAGGCCGAGTGACAAAGTACACTGCTGAGGGGAGCAGCGGGCGGGTCAGGAGAGGTCTGCCACGCCATGTGGAACACCTCTGGGGTGGGGGATTGAACTTGCACTGAAGCAGCTGTAGCCAGCTTGCAGTGCTGCATCCTAACCCTTTGCGCTACCAAGGAGGGCCTCAGGTTAATTAACATCTATTGATCTATTTTCAATATCACTGATTCTGTCTTTCTGTTATTTCTATTGTACTATTGAGTCCATCCAGTGTGGTTTTTGGGTTTTGTTTGGTTTGCTTTGGTTATTCTGAGTTCTAAAATTTCTACATGGTTAACTTTATATCTTTATTCTAAGACTTTTCATTTACTATTTGTTTTGAGAATTTTCATGATTGCTCATGCAATCATTGTTGTACTAGCTGTTTTAAAGAATTTGATAGATAATTCCAACATCTGCATCATCTCATTTTTGGCACCTGGTGGTTGTCTTTCTCCATTTGAATTGAGCATTTCGTCATTTGTATGTTGAGTGATTTTAGATGAGTCTGCAGATGTTGTTTAAATCCTATGAAGAATGTTGTTATATTTGTTTTAGCAGGCAACCTACATAGTTAGGTTCAGTCCACAAGTTCTATCTTGTTTAATGTAAGTGTGGTTCCATTGTTAGTTCTGTTTTCACAGGCTTTGCAGTGTTACTTGAGCCTGTCACACGTTTGTGCCCTCAGTGGTCAGTCTTGGACTCAGGAAAAGAATTAGCTCAGTCCTCAAAACTCTTCTATACATTAATCAGGATCCAATCCACGCAAGTCAGGAGCTGGGAAAAGCAACTCCATAATGTTCTTTATGAATGCCTGGGCTCAAGCCCAACCTGAAAAGCTTTTTCATTGGGAATCTTCCAAGAGTTTGGCAGAACTGAAGTTCCAGGCCAGCCCCTCCCCCAGCTCTCACTGTGGTCTCCTAGTTGCTTGACCTCTGGTTGGTCTTTTCCCATCTGTTTCTCAACCAAGGGAGTTCAGAGAGCAACAAGACTTGCAACGACTCCAGAACTCCAAGGAAGGTATAGAGGACTTTGTTATGGACCATCAGGAGACAAGGGGTAATCTGAGACACAAAATATGGCATCTTCACACTCTCACACAACAGCAGGCTAGCCTCTTAACCCAACCTCTACAAGCCTATTTCTCTATCTTCAAGATAGGCTGGAGATGATGGAATAACTGAGGAGCTCCAGGATCCCAGGTGACATTTAAGGACAATCAGGAGGGGATTTCCTGGAAATTCAGGTGTCCCAAGTCCCCAGACTGGCTCTCCTGCTCTCTCCAGGCCCCAAGTACCTGATTATTCAACCTATTGGAACTCAACTCCTATCCCCTTCTCTGGTAGTAGATACCTCTCCGACGACAAACACAACTCTTTGCACTACACTAGCTGAGTCTTTTCTGGCCATTTCCCAAATGGCCATCTAAATAGACATCTGCTTGACAGTGAATTGAAACATCAACCTTCAAACCCCAGATCAGAACATCTTATCAATACATGAAGTAGGCTATGTGTCAACCTCACTTAACGAGAGGCAACATTCCATCATCCCTGAGGGTTTCTCTCTGCATGTTTCTTGCTGGGCAGGTCAAGAATGTAAGGCCCTGACTACTTTTTACACAGGCCATTTTTTGAGTTGTTTTTGCAGCAATCTTCCTTGAGTAATGAAGTACCATGTTCTTCCGGACAAAAGTCGGGCTTGTTAATGCTTATTATAAGAGAAATTAATCCCCCCACATTCAGTGTTCCTTCCCTATAATACAACCAATTATGTTACAAGCATGCATCTAGGCCTACCTAGATGCCCCCTTGGAGAACCAGCTCAAATATCACACTGATACTCTATGAGTAATAAAGTCCTTTATCTCTGACCCAGGAGTCTTGTGTTTTCTGTTTGCATCCATGAAATGGGATAGCTTGTTAGCTGGCAAGTAGGGTAAAATCTCAGCCCGTTTACCCATCAGTCATTGAGTCTATGAAGTCCATTGAGTCTCACAGGCACTGACACCAGACCCTTCACCCAGACACTGAGTCTTACTTTTCTCCTACCAGATACGAGCTTCCCACTTCTGTTGTCAGTTACTATCTCCCCCAGTTCCCCTTCTAGAGCCTACTCATAACTCCAAAACTTAATTCCTAATTTCTGCCACAGAGACTTAATTCCAGCCTCTTATTCCACAGACTGAATCTTGACCTCTCCTGCCAGAAATCCACTGGGACTTCTGCCTCCAAATGTTAAGTCCTAATCTGTGCCATGAGCAACTATGTTCCCCAGTTTCCCCTTCACAGATCTAATCACCACTCCCCTTCTAGATGCTAAGTTCCAGTTTCAGCTCCATAATCTAAATCTTTTTAATCCCAAAATGAAGTCTTCAATTTTCAATGCAAAGATTAAGTCCCAGCTTTGACAAGTGGTCACCAAAACTGTCTACCACCTGGTTCTCAACAGAGCATTTCATAGAGAAGAGAACAGGAGGGGAGAGGAGGGGCGGGGAGGGAAGGAGAGGGGAGGGGAGGGGAGAAATGAGTAGGGAGAGACTGGCAGAGCCAGCCATTGTATTCTTCACAGAAGGTACAGATGCTAGATA